ATAATGTGGGCTAGGATTGGCATTTGGGCTTAGTGGTGGTTTTGACTCTCCACTGCATGGCTTTGGTGACTAGGGCTAGTTCTCAGTGACCCTGCCTTTCTTCTGCTCTCCCTTCTCCCTTTTGTTCTTCAACTTTGTTTGGATACCTCGCTCTCTTTCGCCTCCAAAGTATACTTTACATATGGATTTTATCTGTGTTGCGATTATTGCTGATATCGGCAAATTATGGTGTTATGATGTTGATTTTGCAGCTTTTTTTCTTCCACGTTGTGATGTCGATCAATTGGATGATGGTTGTGTTGTGATTTTCAAATTTGCAGATTTTCTCTAATCATTCTTGCTATGGAGAAATTAAGGTCTTTTTTTCTCCCTTTCACCTCTCTAGTTTTAGTGTTATGTGGAATTTTTTATGCCATATGTTTACTGTTATCATGTTGAGATTACATGGTTGGTATAGGAAAATTTCTTTCTATTATGATTTTTAGCATGGGGTAATTATCATGTTGTTCGGAGTATTGTGTTGTTGGTGTGCTATGATTAATGTCAATGATAATAGAAGGTGACGTGGAGGTGTGCAAATATTATGAGGCGGTGTTTGGTTTGGAGGAGGCTACGTGGTGATGTGAAGGAAGGTGATGTGGAGTTGGTGGAGTAGTGTGGCGATGTGGAGTTGGTTGAGTGGTGTACTGTGCTATTCATGTTGGTGGTTGGTGGTGGTGTGTGATTTGAAGGAGGTGGGGATGTGAAGACAGTGCATATAACAATCATATTTTCAAATCTATGAAGATAACCTTAATATAACTTTCGGAAGCCCCATCCATGTTAGCTTGAATATTAACAAATGAAATAGCACTACCTTGTGCAATATTAATGATTATATTTTACTTTGGGGAAATATTGTTTGGTTGGCATTAGATATCCATTCCAAAGAGAGCATCTCAAACCCCTTCATGATGCTAAATATCACATTATTGATTTTGAGGCTAACAATGTAACTCCTGGCAGGAAATAGATGTTCGACAAAAGGCACTTCTCCTTGTGATGTATCATTAAAATTACTTTTGGAGTTTGAAAGAAGAAGCGAGTCATACTACCCAATATGCCTACATATTCGTCTTTCGAAGAAGTGTAGATTGTGATCACCATGATGTCTCTCCACAACTATATTTGGCAACATCCTTCGTGCAACGACATTGACTTCAATAGAATTGATGAAGCTCAGTCACATGTCCCGGTTGAAGCATACATATATCGCCTTAGCCAATCTTTATCAAAGGTTGAAATTAATTTGTCAGAGACTTGTACCCAGTATGGGGAAAGTGAGTGAGATGATAGAGTCGAGGGAGTGAATTACATGTGCTATACTTGGAGGTTGAATTGAGGAAACATGTGTTTTCTTGTTGTTGCTTTATTTGTAATGTGTTATTGAAATATTTATGGGTTGTTTTATCAAATTTTTATACAAGTCAAGTTATTTGGATTATCAATTTTATTTATATTTCTTATGCATTTAATTTTTTCTACTTGGATGGCCTATGAGACAATCGTGGAAAAACTATGTAATTAAACTTAATACATCTTTTTTTGGGCTTTGAAGGTCTATGATGAGATACGACCTTAATAGTTCTTCTAGATGACCTATATGTCGCTATTGGTTCCTGTCACATATGAAATCTCAATGAAAACAATGAAGTTCCTCTCCTATTTAAGTGCTATGGTTTTTAATCTTCTTCTAGATGATATTTTCTGGTGATATGCATATGTGACACATACGTGGATGAAATTACGTGGGTTAAAGAAAAATATGAACCATTTTTTATAGGATTTATTGTTTTTATTGTGGTGACTGATTTGTTGATTTATATATTGTGCTCTCTGATACATCACAATTGCGTTTAACTTATACTAATAATTTTTATTAATGTTATACTTAAAGGTATGTGCGTTGTGATTTTAAGTATTCAGAAAAGATGAGCCCGATGATTTCTGTTATTTCCAAAGCACTGTACTGCTACTGCGGGTTATAATGTTCCATATTTAATTTGCCACAACCACATAGCTACAAGAGAAAACTTTACAGTTATCCAAGGAGAAGAATGAAAAAATGTGAATTCTTCAGGTGGGCAGATGCGTTTGAGGATTCCACCACCAAGAGTGATCAAACGCGGAGAGTTTTCCTGGATGACGACTTATGTCCTCACTCACATACACTAGCTACATTTTAAAAATAATATTATAAATTTTTTTTATTTTTTTTTGATAGTCCTTCTACTCACTATTTGGTGAGGTGCCAATTTTTATTTTGTAATGTTCAAAATTGATATTTGTTTTCAAGAATGAAATGTGTTATAATGAACAGTTCTATTGTAAAACAACATTACAGTACAAGGGCACGATCGTCATATTTCCGAAAAAAACTACAGCACAACTCTTCACATTTACAAAAAAAAAAAAAACAAACAACCAGTTTATTTAAAAACAAATTTTGCGTAGCAACTTTTTGTAACACATTTTAAATAAGCTGCAACCACCCCAAACAAATCCAAAGAAATAATGTGCCATGAAGCTGATTTTTTATTTGGGGAATTTACATACATGACACCTACTTCTTATGCACTTACTTATCTCACACCCAAATTCTGATCTGGACATCTAAAACAACTTTTCCTATGTATGAGAAGGTGAAAATAGTCTAATCCATCTTTTTATACGTAAGTTAGGCTGCTTATGATGTAAAAATCAAAGTTTGGGTGTGATATAAGTAAATGAATAAGAATTGGGTGCTATGCATGTAAAAAACAAATCACATTATTCTTAGGAATACATACATACACATAAATTAATTTCTACGTTGCTTCGTATTTTCTATAGAAACGACACTATGTTTAGGCTCCTTTCTTCGATCCTAGCTTCCTACAGTTCAAGGTGTAGGTTTAGGTCATTTTTAACAGAGTGGATGGGGCACGATTTATAGAGTTTGGGAGAAGTCTCTCTGCAACGAAAGAAAGACTTCAGACCAGTCCATCAGATAATCTGAAAATATTCTCTCGATCAAATCACATTTTGTGGATATTTGAGTGACTTAATGATCTCAAAAGTGAATGATATTTAGCTTGTTGGATTCGTTTTGTTTAGACACTCCATTTGACCACCGATCAGTTTTTTATGATTTTTAATTAAAATCGAACATTCTTTACTAAAAAAACTATCTTATGATTTGTGACACATCTCTAGATCCATGTCAGATGATGAAAACTTTTTAATGGCGTAACAGACGTGAAACTAGCAATGTAAATAATTTAAATATTTTGTATCAAAATATCCATATAAAATATTGATTATAACGAGTCTAAGAATCATTAAATTTATTTTAAAATGAATATAATATATAAACAACCAATTTAAAACTTACATTACACTCATTCATAATCAAATCCAATCAATTTTAGAGAAATTTACATAAATATCACAAAATTCTTATGGATTTATATATCCAACACCAAAAGTTTGGTGTCATAAATGCTACATGTAAATATTCATTACACTTCTAAAAAAGTGAGAACAATGATATTTTTTATGTGATGTTAAATATCGGGACAATGTGTTTACATATCATGTGTTTACATATCAAACACTTAATTTGGCTTTTTTTACATTTCTACCACCGAATCTTTCGCATCACATAAAAAATATTGCTTTTTTAACCTTCAAAACATTAAAATAAAATACATTTTTTCATGCATAGGAAATGTGAAAAATATGTAAAAATTGAAGTTTAGGCCTTAGAAATGTAAATGTATAGGAGTTGAATGACATGTATGCAAATCTCTTAAAGATTTAGAAGTCATGCAAGTAAATATGAAAATTTATGTGTATGTTGTGTAAAAACAAAAGAAATCTATGTTACGCATCTAAATGCCCCCAAATTTTATCATACATTCGCATCTAAACAAGGAATATGATCAAACTAACAAGTCTTATTAACACAAGACAATAAAATGATAATTCAAGCACAATAATATTTCATCAAGAGTCCTGATGCAAAACTGTATCAGGACTTCAATCACAATGTGTCACGTGTACGATTTGATCCTACTGAATACAAAAAATAAAATAGTTTAATATATAGCGGGGCCGGGCCGTACTCGTGGTATATTGTGACTAAAGTCCTGATACAATTTTACTCCTCGAGACCCGCATCTCAACCAGAACAAAACACATCATTATTTACTAGGAAGATTTACATACATACCACTAAATTCCCAAGCAGTTACATAACTAACACTTAAGTTCCAATTTTTACATATTAACCCCCACCTTAGATATATAAATACATAAGATTTGGCGGTATGTATGTAAAAGCACTTATTATGCCACAACAAAGGCAGTTGAAGAACCGGTGAAATAGCCGATCGAACCCAGCAAGCTCTTGGAAGCTCCAAAATGTCTGAATCTGTAAACTCCTGGCAACGAATCCTGAGGAATTCTCCATTCCAAAGTCGCCTGGCTCTGAGCGCTGAGTTTCGAAGGTCTCGACCACTTGAACCGCAAGCAGAAATCATCATCATCATAAGCAGGAATCCAGTTCTGGTTTGAATCCAAGAACTCAATTAGGGCAAAGGTTCCATTCGTGAAGAGATCGTTTCGAGGGCAAGCGGACCAGAACGTGGCCGCAACGACGTCTCCGCGTTTGAAAGTGGAGTTTGCCGGCACGTCGCCGCTTATGTCGCCGAAATGGCGACCGGCCGGAGCTGAATCAACGACGACGGGAGGGAGAAGGCTTATCTGCTTGTCGAGGAGATCCGGAGGTTGAGGGCCTGGAGGGAGGTTTTTGCCGGAGAGGAGAGCGGCGGCGAGCTTTCTGAACTCTTGAATGTAGGCGTTCAGGGTGTGTGGGCCGTATAAGGTGGAAGCACCCTGGATTAAAGGAGACAATTTAAACCCAAAGGTATGAGTTTTATATAATAATAAGGGAGATTTACATACATACCAGACAATTCTTATGTTTTTATATTTCCAACACATAAATATTCATATTTAATTTTGAATATCGCTTCAAAAAGATCACTTTCACCGTCTTTTTAAAAGATGAAATGCACATTTTCATGGATAGGTCCATGAAACCAGAGTTATAAGTGCAAATATCAAACTTTTAGGTGTTGGATATGTAAGCACATAAGAATAATGTGGTATGTCATATGTGTGCAAATTTTCCTAATAATTAACAAAAACAATATAATTACTAACTTCTCTATTCTTCAATAAAGTTGGGTAAGAGCTTCACATATTTTTATTTGGAGTGAAGTGTCAAAATTGTTCCCTCTTATAAAAAAAATGTCAAATTAATCCTTAGACTCATTAAATTGGTGTTAAAATAGTAGTTTGTGAAGATTATTTCAGCCCATATTAAAAAAATCTGAGAACTAATTTTTCACGTTTGTAGAACCTAGGATTAAAATGACACTTGTAAAGAGTCAAGGGCTATTTTATCGCTTTCTCTTTTTATTCATATAAAGGACATTAACATTAACACCACACAATTCTTATGTATTTGTAAATCTAACACCCAAATATTCATATTTACATATAACACTTAAATCTCTAAGATCACATAAAAAACACCACTATTACCAATTTTTTAAAAGCAAAATGAACCTTTTCATGCATAACAACAAAGTGCTTTAAATATATTTATCAAATTTTAGGCGCTAGATATGTAAATACATAAAAATTGTGTAATATGCAAGTAAATTTCTATTTGCATTAAAGATATAGAGAAGAAGAACTAGGGCGGTGTTTGGCCGCAATATGAATTTATGCTAAATAGGATTTATCAAATCCAATAAATTTGATACTATTTGCAACGGAGATAAGCTCGCGAGCGACAACAGAATAAATTCTTAAATCCGCCTCGCAATTGGGTTCAACGAGTTTGGATTCACGCGTAAAAGAGAAAGAGACAAAACACACGAAGAAAAAACGTAAATTTATAAGAGAAATATTCCATTTCAACAAACCTCATATCTTTGTATCTGATACTCCTCAAACGTGGTCACATATTGGGAGTATGTGTTTGTCAAGCCAGCAATCACTATGTGAACATTGTTGTCAAACTCCCCACCACCGGTGAGTACTTCTTTTACCGCATCTCGGAGTCGCCTTCCAGCCATGGTTGTAAACTCTAGGAGAAAAAACAGGATTAGGGATGAAAAAGACATTCTATTCTGAAAGTATGACTGAAGAAAATTATATCAAAATTACTAGGAAGATTTACATAGAGACTACTTAATATATATGTATTTGCATATATCCAACACCTAAAATTTAATTTTTACATAGATGTCACCTTGCCTATGCATGAAAATGTGCGCATTACTTTTAAAAAGTAAAAAATAGTGGTATTTGTGCTGTGATATGCAAGATTTGGTTGGTATAAATGTAAATAAGTAACGTTTAGGTCTTAGTTATGTAAATACATAACAACTTGGTGGTATGAATGTAAAACAGTACAAGGGATGAAGAAGCCATTCTATTGTGGAAGTATGCTTGAAGAAAATTTCAGAAAAAATTATTAGGAAGATTTATATACATACTAGTTAATTCATATGTATTTACATATCTACACCTAAACTTTAATTTATAAATAGATGTCACCTTACATATGCATGAAAATGTGTGTTTCACTTTTAAAATGTTAAAATAGTGGAATTTGTGATGTGATATGAAAGATTTGGTTGGTATAAATGTAAAAAAGTAAAGTTTAGGTCTTAGTTATGTAAATACATAAGACTTGGGTGGTATGCATGCACATGCCACAAAAAAAGGGATAATTACATATTCAGCACTTGAAACATTGCTATTTACAAAAGAACCATCCGTTTCTTCTTTTTGTTTTGTACTGTCAAACCAATGTATTTTGATAAATTTTGTATGAGGATGAAGCAAATTTTACTGCACGTGTATGTTTCCCATGATTCCATATTGTATCATACATTTTTCTATAGTTTATGGTTTAGTTGTAAGTATTTTCTGCACAGTAGCCATCAATCAAAATTTATATTAACCAAAGGGTGTAAAACTAAGGTGTGTGTGTAAAAAGAGAAATTTATATTACAATTACCTCCAGGAACACAGAGGATGACAACTTGGCCCACACGAAGGATCTGAATTGGAAGAATAGAGGGCTGCAAAAAACAAGATGATCAATATAAAAAACAATGTTGAAAAGAACAACGAATTAAGGGCTTATTTAGGATCAGTTGTCTTTTTTTTTTGTTTTTAAGAACATATTGTTTTAGTATATATTTATATATATATATATTATCTTTTAATTTTAAAAATTAATTAACATGTTATTGAAAAAAATCAAAATAATTTTTTAATATTTTTGAAAATAATTATATTTTAATCTAATAATCCGACGGCTTTTGTTTCAAATTAAAATATAAGCCAAAAAAAAAAAAAAAAAAAAAAAGATAACAAATGGCCCCAAAACAAAGCAGGTTGAACAAAAGGAAATGCTGCAGCCATCTAAAGGCGACACTGAAACAATTATGGACATCGTCAGTTCAAAATCTCCTGTTTTTTGAATTTATATTACCGTAACGGCCATGACTACTTCTCTCTTGCAGTTAATAACGCAATTGTTTCTAAGCTGCATGAAGAATCTTCAGAGAAACAGAAGAAAGAAGTAGCAGCTGAGATTACTACTTAAATAAATATTAATGGCTTCTACATTTAGATATGCAGAGATCTTCACCTTAGATATCTAGATTAACATACATTCATCAAATCATTTGGTGTCAGAAAATATAACTGAGGCAAATAATAATCATTAAATAGGGTTGTCAATTTTGTTTAATGGATCAAGTTTCGATCAATTTGCATGATCCGAACAGGACCAGTTTATAAACCGGTTGAAAAGTCTAACCCAAATATAACCCGTCTATACCAAAGCTGATCCAAACTTGGCCCGAATAACACATTTAACATGTTTATAAACAAATATAATAAAAAAGATATATAAATAGGATATATAAATGCTCCTATATAAATGCAAGACAAGAAATGTATTATGAAATAATAATTTTGAACTAATATAAATAAATTTAGCTATAAAAAAATATGCAAATTGGTGGGTTAACCCGAACCCAACCCAAAAAATAAATGGGTCAGAATTTTCAACTCAAACCGAACATGAAAGGTAGTGTCATAAAATACCTTTCTAGCTGTGTACATATAGAGTTGAACAATAATAGCATCTTGCATAAGTATAACCAATGTAATTCTATTGTCTTCAGTCATATAGAACTTCATACATGATAATTTTTTTTTTTTGGAGCAGTGAAAAGAAAAGAGTTTGCTTACCGCCCAATCATAGGGTAGTTTCATTTCACCAGTGTCAATCAAAATTGGTTTAGGATTCTGACAATCAACTTGTTCTTTGCTTGGAGGCTTCAACAAGCCCCCCACCAGTTTCCAGAAAGGATTTCCCTGTTACAAAAACTCTTTTTCGTCAAAACACAAAGATGTCTTTTTGATTTACAGAACTGTCCATGTAAGTAGACAACCTGATTATCTCCCTGCTTAAAATCAAAAGCTCCAGGACCATCCGAGCAACCTGCAGCAAAAGCAAATCCCAAAGCTGCAGGGCAAGTTCTTACCGTTTGCTGCCCTCCATCACTGGATATATTAACCTCAAGCTGTGAAAAATCTATATAAGCATGTTGAAACTCAACTTTCCCCTTTATTTTCTCAGATGCAGTATTGAAGAGTTCAATAGCTTTAGTGAGCTGCCTATCACCAATGATGCGAGTACTTTCAAATTCATCTGGATAACTGATAAATAATAAGTTTCATTAGAAAAAAATAATATAAAAAAGAGAGTGAAGTGTCAAAAGTCCCCTTTAGTCTCCAAAGTCTTCATTCTCTTTAAATGTAAGCTGAAATAGTCTTCCGTGGGAACTATTCAACTCAAATTAAAATTATTTGAGGACGAAATTAGCATTTTTATATGCGTTGGGATTAAAATGAATCCTTGCAAAGAGTTATGGGGCTATTTTAATATTTCTCTACAAAGAAAGATTATGAAAGAACATAAGTGGTTACCCAGGGCCACGTCCATAACACAGTTCATTCTTTCCATTGCAGGTGCTGTGATTGAAATCACAAGGTAAGCCGGTGTCAATGCAGAAAGCTCCTAAAACATTTGGACTCACATCTCCACAATTTGATTGACAAAATGCAGACACAAAATTTTGTTGGCTTCCCTCAGTAAAAGAGTTCCGCACCCGCCAGCCTACACTCTTAGGTTCTGATAACTGAATTCCACCTGATGCTTTGAAGGAGGTAACAAGCTGTTTTAATTTGTTCGCTGCACAAGCCAGCCAACCAAAGGTTAATTGCATAAACAAGTAAAGTGTCAAAATAATCCCCTAACTATTTACATGGGCTTATTTTAATCCCAACGTTTATAAAAATGCTAAATGAGTTCTTAAGAATCTTGTAATGGGGGCAAAAAATTGTCTTCACTGGGGAGACTATTTCAACCTATATTAAGAGAATCTAGAAAATAAACTAACACTTTTATAAACTTAGGGACTAAAATGACATTCTGCAGAGAGTCAAGGGACCACTTTTGACAATTTTCTCTTGCATAAACGAAAAAGGGGCATTTGCATGCATACCACCCAATTCCTATGTATTTACATATATAAGGCCTAAATTTAACTTTTAACATTATACCACTCAGAACTTCCATACCACATAAAAATACCACCATTTTAACTTTTAAAAATTGAAATGTTACTTTTCATGCATAGGTACGGTCGTATGTATGTAAAAATTGAAGTTTAAGTTTTAGATATGTGAATTCATAGGAATTGAGTGGTATGTCAATTTTCCAATAATAAAAAAACAGATAATAGTCAGCTTCTTTACGTTGTTGAATATTACTAGAGATGCAAAAACATACCGTTATCATCCACTTGAGGAATAATGTTGGAGACCCTACGTGGAATCCTTTGTTGATTGTTGTGAGAACCAGGAACAGCAACATGAGTACTGCGACTTTGCGTACCTAAAATTTTCTGCTTAGCCCAATCCTCCATGAAACGAGCAGCAGCTCCTTTGTTGTCACCACTTATCAAGGAGTTTGTGCGGCCCATTGAAGTTCCATGAGTTGCAAACCAATTAAAGGCACCAACTGGACCCCATTCATTATCTACAAACTTCAGAAGAGTCATCTGTTTATCAACATTATACTGATATTGACTTCTCTCTGAAGCGGGGTTATTAAGATAGGCGCTTGGGCTGCGGTTTATACCAGCATCCAGCTCTCCTGAATATCAAGATTGAGGCTTTGAGTATATCATGTAATAAAAGAGAAAATGTAGAAGTTAAGAGAAAAGACTGCTGATATAGATAAAAGTGGATGGTTAATGACAAGGTAGAAGCTGTATTCCCTAGGAAATTTGAAATAAATCCTGAGGATCGCCCTTTTCCAATGAAAAATTAAGTGAAAGCAAAAGAGAAACTTGTGAAAATGTTTCCTAGACTCTTTTTAGAGGTCCATTTTAATCTTCGAATCTATAGAGTGATAATTTGGTCCCAAGCTCTTTTAATGAAGGCTAAAATACTCCTCTTTGGGGACTATTTTAACTCATATTAAAAGAGTATGGAGAGTAATCTGACACTTTTATAGACTTTGGGACTAAAATAATCTCATATAAATAGTCAAACGGCTACTTTGACACTTCACTCAAAAAAAAAAAAAAAACCATATAACATGAACTCCATGCCTAGAATCATGTGAATCTCAATTAAAAGCCTGCTAGCTTTTATAATCAGTAACACTGCATAGTTAAATATTGCAAAAAATCTCGAGACTAAATGCATCACCGAATTTGTAAAAATAATAGATTAGCAACAAGTGTAAATCTACCTTGCTACCAAATGCATTAAATCATTGTGATATGCTCAACATCAAAAGTAGCAGCGGCACACAATGCACCTTAATTTTTTTTTTAAGAACTCTAGTATCATTCTTTTTTTTCTTTTTTTAAAATGTTATGGTATTGCCTACCAGCAAAACTGACAACTAATTTGTACTATGATTTATTTGGTTGGAAAGGCATGATTGCAAACACAAGGGATTGAGTCTCTATGGTAAATGAATTATTTGGAAGGTGATGAACCAAATTTTGTTTCTTCCCCTCTAATAAACTTTTAATTTCAAGAACATGAAAGGTGAAAGACATTGTATCAACATTATTAACAACAAGGTCCCTAAACAAACATGTAAGGATAGAAGTGCTATCATGTATTGGACTAAACATCATTGGATATACTAAGAGTAAATGTAGTTAGTTGTATGTGGTAAGGGTAATCTGAGTGAGCTTGCTTGTGGTATCATCAGAAATCATGATGATGATACTATACTTGCTTTTTAATGTTAATCTTGGATATCAGAATTCCTTTTATGCTAAACTTGCTACACTTCACTATGGTTTAGAACTAGCTCTCGTAATGGTTTCAGCCATATATGGATTGAGATGGATTGTCACTACTTTAAATAACAATAAATCAGTTAGTTAGGATCATAAAAATTTTTATTCCAGTAAGCTTTTTCTTTTGAAATTTCAAAATAGATTGACTCGTGCCTTTCATGAAGGAAACTCTGCAGCTGATTGGTTGTCCAATGAGAGCTTTTGTTTAGTAAGACTTATATGGCAAGCTTATTATGTTTTTTTTTATAAAAAGAAGCTTGTTAGTACTACAAGATTGGATGAGAGTGGGATTCCTTAAATTTGTGTTTGATTTTTGGCTTAGGCTTTAACCTTTGTTCCCCCCTAAGTCTAGCAGATACTATTTGATAATAATTTATACAATTTTATGGGGGTTGAACTTTATCCGTGTCACTTTTCATTCAATATCTATTGTATTTTTTCCATCAATGACTATATTTTGTGGTAAAAATAGGCTCCTACTAGTACTTGATGGATGGTTGATTTATTGAAGTCTGTTTTGTTGGTTTTATGGGTTGATTTTTGTCTTTTGGTTACAATTATCATCCTTTTTTTGTTTGTGGTAAACAATTCAGTCATCTTCTAACTGATGTTTGCCTAATCATTTTTATGTTTCTTTAGATCATTTTGGAAGTTAGTTAACTCTTCATCTGGAGGGCTATTTCATTTATTGTGGTTGTTAGAAGCTTTTGATTTTTTTTTCACTTTCTGTGATGATTAGTTCATTAGATTTTTTTTTTGTTGGTTATCTTGCAACATTTTTTTTCTCTGATTTTTTTCTTGCTGAAGAGCTTTGCATTATATTTTATCCTGACAAGTTCTTTGTGTTTTTATGTATTTATCAAATTTCATCCAGATTTGCAAATATTTTTATGGATTTTCCTTTTTTTTTTAGTTTCCACTTTGACAACATGTTCAATAGTACTTATTGATTTCTTTGGTGGCTCATACTCTCGGTGTTATGTTTTCTAAGGGCCTGTTTGGGGCAGCTGCAGCTTATTAAAAAACAACTGTAAAGCTGTTGCGTATTAATCTGATGCTCACAAAACTGCGGTGATTATTATAATTTTTTTTTAAGTCAGACCGCAACTAGAAAGTTGCTACCTTCTTAGCCAGGAGTGGTGGGAAAATGCATATTTGAGCTGCAACTTTTTGAGAAAGCTGTCAAAACGCAGTTTACCCAAACAGACAAAACTGTGGTGCAGTACTGCACCGCCCGCCCCAAACGTACCCTAAATATATTATAATATTATTGGTGTTTTTGTTATATCATGGTCTTTATAATTAAGTTTTGCAATCATTGGATATAAGAAAAATGATTTGGACGATATGGTGGCCGCCTTTTTCTTGGGAATTATCATCAAAGGTGTTTGGATTTTAGTTGTTTTTTTTTCCCATAATGGCACTTACTTTCCTCTTTTTAGTTTATGTTAATTCAATTCATTCTGGTTGCTGTCTTTCCTTGAAAGCAGAGAACCATTCCTTAGGTGGCCTGCATTATGTTAAGATCAAAGTTGATTGATTGGCCTATTAACAAAGCTCTTTTGTTTATTGTTATCATTATATTAAATACTAAATTCAGCCAATTTATTTACTTTTATTTTTATTTTATTGTCTTCGAAATATAGCAAGATCCATAACTGTAAAACTACAATAGGCTTGACGCCCTGTGAGGCAATCTATATAGGCATCTCTTTTAACTCAAGGGCCATTGTTTTTCAGTCAAATGCATGAGGGAAATTTACATACATACCACACTATTCTTATGCATTTACATATCAACACCTAACTTCATATTTACGATTGTCACACTTTGGTCTCATAAACCTATATATGAAAAGTAAAAGTGATATATATATATATATGTATGTATGTATGTATATATGTATGCATGTATGTATGTATATTTATGTGATATTAAAGATTTTAGTGCCACACATGTAAATATGAAATTTTTAGTTTTAGATATGTAAATAAATGAGAAATCTGGGGTATGTATGTAAATGCCCAGGCATGTGATACTAAGAAAAAAACGCTACAAAAGCAAAAATGATGATAAGAATGTAAACGCCCAGCTTACCTTTATTTACATAAAGTGATCCAGGTCTAAGGTTTTGATGAGCTTGTATTATGCTTTTCTCAATGCCATCCACAATAACGTCAAATGACTGTCGCACAAAGCCAAGAGATGTTACTATGTACACAACATATTGAAGGTAACCCCCTGGACCAGAATGTGTATGGATGCCACTTATGGCCACATTTTGTTCAGTATAGAGGTCTCCGTACCTACACAGATGTGGATTGTCAAAGCTCACACAAATATATAATACAAGTTGTTAAAAATAAAGAGAAGACAGTTTAGCAATCTTATGTGATTGTGTCATACATTGATTGGGCTAACTGTAGACTAACCCGCTTGGTGAATCAGACGATGATTCACTGTGATTGATCTCAAATCTGATTGGAATTAACTACAATTAGGGGTATAAACGAGCCGAACACGAGCGGCCCAGGCTCAGCTTGCGTTTGGCTCGTTAAAGAATATCACTATTTGTATTCAGCTCGTTTATATTTCGAACACAAAAAGTGTGTTCGTGTTCGGCTCGTTTGCTTGGTGATAAACGAGCCGAACAGGAGTTGTTTGCAAACACAGAGTCGTTTTGGCGGCCCTAATCACGCAGCCGAATGATTTAAATCTTATTTTTTATATTAGAACATCATTTAAATATAATTTAATATATTGTTATTCATTTTTTTATTTAATAATTTTATTTGATTATAAATCTTTGTAGCCTTATAGTCAACTAATTTTTTTAAAAATACTACTCATCAATATATCAAGCACAAAAAAAAGTGTTCATCTTCGTATTCGTGTTCGGCTCTTTAACTTAGCGAATGAATCAAACAAGAGCTTCTTAAAGAGCCGAACAAGAGCTGTTCGCGAACAATGAGCCGTTTTAATAGCCCTAACTACAAGAGTTTAAGAACTGACAAAGGCCTACATCAAATCAGCACATGATTAAAATCTACAACCCTCTCTTCACCACCCTTCTTTCTTGAATGCCTCCTAAACCCTGGTACATCCATTCACAAAAGCCAATTATGATGCTATCTTAAATGGCATGGCTTAATAAATAATAAATTTTGAAGTCCAGCCCCAAATAGCATTAAGAAAATACCATCTCTCTCTCTCTCATATGTTTGATTTATGGGTTATTTTGACAATTTTCTTTCGGATGTGATTCCTTTGGTTGCTCCTTAGGTAGGATTGTAGTTCTCTCTAGCGTTTCTTTATTTTAATTATTTGGTTTCTTCTATGGTGGCTTCTAAATGGATGATTATCTATTATATCTAATGTATTAAAATATCTACATCTTTTTTTTTCATTAAAAGGGTGAATAAGATAATTCTATGACTTATTAACATTTATAATTGGGCTTGCAAATCTAATTTAGGAGGCATATAGAAAAATATTAAGAGTTTAACACTAAAAGGATATAAATTTGCAAATAAAGATCAAGGGATAACTTAGAATAGTGTAATTTTAAAATTAGGAATGGGCAGTCAAAGATGGGATCAATCAATGTTTGGCTTCCTCTGGTCAGACTCTCATTCCCAATCTCTCTCCACTCCTTCAATCTTCTATGTCCTCTCTTGGCCACACAAAAGTCATTAAAAGAAGGAATCAAAGTGCAAAGAAATGAATTATAGATGCATTGACCGTGTTCAAATTAGAAGTCTTCTGAGGAGACCCTAAAATTTAGGCGGTGTTTGGCTGCAACAGAAGATTCAAGTTAATAGGATTTATCAAATTTGCGGATTTTAGTCAGCTCGCGAAGGAGAGGGAGGAGGCAAGAAACTGCGATGTAAACCCGTGTAATTCGCCTTCTAATCGAATTTGATAAATCCGGATTTACGTCGCAGAAGAGACGGAACGGGAGAGATTTTACTTTAACGGAGAGTTAGATTTGGTTTTACTTTTTTTGGTGTTTAGCTGGATTTAGGCGAAATCCATGGTTAAATTCTATTAAAAATGTGCTACCAAACTCCCCCTTAATTAAAATTAAAAAGTGCTCACCACAATTTAAGTTTAACATTGGTTCTTATTTGAGTGTGTGGATCATACTATCTCTCAATTTGAAAATCATTTTGGGTAACAAAGCCCAACTGACAAAGCCTATCTTCCTAAACCATAATTCTTTGATCCACCATTAGCATAGTAGGAAACTACTCTTGATTCTAATAAGACACTAGAACATGATTAATCATCTACCCACCACAATTTAGGTTTAGCAAGGGATAACACTATATAAAAACCTTCAGAATCAAACTGCTAATACTAGTTCTTATTTGAGAGTTATAGATTATACAAGCTCTTGATTTGGAAATCATTTTGGGTGGCAAAGTTTCAATATCAAAAGCCTGGATTTTATTAAAACTATTAGATTGTCCTCATGGATTAAGAAGCAAACCCTTTTATACATTGAATGAAAGTTCATCGAGTGATAGCTTTCATTATGCAAGCCTATTAACCATGAAATGAAGATATTAAATAAGGAAATTTACATCACTCACACCTAAGCATTGGTATTTACATACATAACACCATGGTGCTTTGAACGTATGCATGAAAATGTGTTTTTCATCTTTAAAAAGGGGTAATAGTGCTATTTTTGATGTGATGTTAAAGATTTGAGTGCTGTGTATAATCGTATAAAAATTGTGTAATATATATGTAAATGCCTCTATTAATTAACATATAACTACCAATGTTTGAGCTTAATAGTCAAAACATGAAGCAAGTGTAATATGTATGTAAATGCCTCTATTAATTAACATATAACTACCAATGTTTGAGCTTAATAGTCAAAACATGAAGCAATGAGCAGTACTAGCATAATCTATGAAGGTTGTCATATAGTACCTTGATTTTAGCCTTTCGAGAACTTTAATCGTCACAAGTTGAGACGCCATACATGCATCGAGATTGACAAATGCGACACGATTTCCGCCAGGCTCAGCAACTATAAAAGAACGAGCTTTCAGCCTGAAATGAATGCCTGAAGTAATCTGATCAGTGTTGGCATAACCCATCATATTTACATCCGCCGCAGGTCCGGTTATGTCGTAGCTCCCAAGACCAATCAAATAGTCTGAATCCGACAGAGCAAGTCGGGAGTTCAGAAAAAAGGAAAACAATAAGAGACAAGAGAATATTCTCGTGAATGGATGACATCTGAACCAAAAAGAAAGCTCCATCGAACAACAAATAACAACTCTTTCAATTAGCCATCCCTACTCTTTTTATCTGCTGGGAAATGTTAGAAAGATGAGTGATTAATGACTTTTAATGACACATTATCATTAAGACATAAAACTTGAAATAATACCAGAGTTAACCTAAACAATAATAGGAAAAAAAATATTATCACTGAAAAAGTCAAATATGCAATTACAACCAAACACACACTAAAATAGGAAATAACAACAACAAAATATAAACTCAGACTAGAGTTCGATTCGTGGGAAGTGGAGGTCAGTTAGGTGGTCCACAAGTAGGGGGTGGATGAGGAGCAGCAGCAAGTAGGGGTGGCTGGAAAGGTTGTGTATGCCTTGAAGCAGCAAGGGGGAGGACAGGATAGTAGGTTGGCAGTGGCAAAGGGTGGTAAAAATAGTTGGAAGGGTTGTGCCTTGTTGGAAACAACAAGAGGGAGGGCTTGGACAGTAGGTCAATAGTGATAGAGAGTGGTAAGGATGGCCGAGAGAAGTGTGGATTGCTAGAAATAGTAGGGGGGATCGGACAATAGGTAGGTAGCGGCGGAGGGTGTTAAGGACAGTTGGGATGTCACACCCTGAGTGAGAATTTGGTCTGATCGAATGGTCTGCCTCTATCACACCTCAGCGGACCCTTAAAGGGGGCTAGTTGGGGTGTGACATGGGAAGATTGCAACAGCGAGAGAGGTAGGTTCAAGAAGGTGGCAGCAAGTGAAACTGCAGTAAAACAGTTCGAAAGGGTTGTTTGGCAGCACCTGCACCCGGGAGAAAGAGCGGTGGCCGCGAATGGAAGGCTGCGACGAAAGGGAAAGTCGAGGATAATCACCACCTCAAAATGAGATATAATTGTGGCACCACTCACCTTTTCATATGATGCCAGAAAAGAAGGCTTTAAGACGCCGACGAGTGTCCCAACAGAGAACTCACAATAACTGAACTAAAACATAAATAATACCGATATACAACCCTAGAATAACTAGAAATGGGCCCCTCTATTGAAAGGAGGTGAAAAACTGGTCAATTCTCTCGAGCCTGGATCTAACCGGTCCAGGCATTCTCTGACTCCCTGCTTCACTTCAAATAACATGAGAGGGATGCCCGTGTCATTGCCGGAGGGACGCTTGCGTCATGAGAGTATGTCATAGTGACAATTTTAAGATTTAGAAATCATATAACGGATAATCAAAATAACATGATCTACCCAACATTTTTGTTTATTTTAACACGAGAAAGGAAAAGTTAAAATTTGCTTCTAAATTGTCAAAAACATTCATATAAGCCGCCATGCACAATACTAAAATTAATTAGTTGCGAGCAAAATATTAAGAAATTGGGAACTTTAAATGCGTCGCACATATATCTTATATATTTACAAATCTTGCGGCTAAACCTTCATATTTACATACACAACACTTTGGTTTAAACCTATGCTTGAAAACTTGTATTTCACTTTTAAAAAGTGATAATAATATTAATCTTGATGTGATAGTAAATATCTGAGTGCTATGTATATAAATATGAAAGTTTAGGTGAAATATATAAATACGTAAGAATTGTGTGCTGTATTATTTTAACTTGGGAATGGCAGAGTGAAATTTTGCTTATGAATTCTCAAACACATTCAGATAAGCTGTCAAACACAATAATAACAATAATTAATACACAAGTATAATAGTAATAAATTATGCTAGGAAGCCCCATATAACTCATTAAAGTGAAGTTTTCAGCTTCTTATCAGGTCAAAAAGTGGTCAGTGAGCAATATTACAGGAGTTTAGTGGGGTCTGTTTGGGGAGCCATATTTATTAAATTCGAATAGACAAAATTGTGATGTGTTACCGTGTTGCACCGTCGCCCTAAAGAACTCTTAAGCAAAATATCATGGTACAACAAGATGATCGACAAATGCTAATAAAATAATGCTTTAAAGTGAAATAATCCTAATTGTCATGCATTTACATATTTAGCACACAAGCTTTACTTTTTACATTAATATCATCTATATCTTTCAAATCACATCAAAATCAACATTATTTTTTCATATAGAGGTAAGATGTCATGTATGTAAGAATTAACATTTAAGTGTCAGATATGTGAATGCATAGGAGTTGAGTAGTACTTAAAGGCTCCGTTTGAGAATGCTTTCAACTTCCGTTCGGTTGCACTCAAACACCGCAGCTTGGAAAAACTTATATTTGTCAACAGAGCGCTTTCGGAACTTCAGCGGAAGTTGTATCGCAAAAACACTAAAATTTCATCAGAAAGGAGATGACGAGTCATGTTCCACAAAATGACCTCTAAAGGAGCTTTGCCAGATGGTGAAGCTCCTTGCTTCATTTGAAGGAGCGTCCCCATAATGCAAATTTCCTTTAAAAATCACATCTGTCAAATGGAGGAGGCAAGCTACAATCTAAAACGCCTAAAAATTATCATTTTTGTGATACAACTTCCAACAACGTTCGGGAGAGGCCACTTCATCAAACAAAGAATTTTCTAGGCATTGGCCTTCACTGCAACCAAATGAAACTTCACAGCCTTCTCAAACGAAGCCTAAGGGTCTGTTTTGAGTTACTGCAGTTTATTAAAAAACGGTTGTGAAACTGCTGAATAATAATCTAATACTCAAAAGCTGTGACTGCTATTATAATCTTTTTTTTAAGTGAGACCACAACTAGAAAGCTGCACCGCACATAATCATGAGTGGTGAAAAAACACAAATTTCAACATCAACTTTTTGAAAAAGCTACCAAAATGCAGTTTAATCAAACCGCCAAAACTGCTGTATAAAATGAAATCTTTCCATTATCAGGTTAGAAGTTACCGGAATAAAATAGAAATCCCTAGGCCCATGAGCTGCGGCAGCCAAAGCTAGAGAACTGAACCTTCTCCTCAACTATCCGTAGTTTTATACCTCAGCGCCTGCTATTGAAGACAAACAGGGGTTGTTTTCAGCCATGGAAACTCCAAAAAGCTAAAGACAAACAATGGGGGAGCGGAGGAGATAATCAGCCGACTGAGCTGATGGAAATGGACGCTGCGAACGCCGGAGAAGGGAAGCAGAAGTCGCCGTCGAGGTTATCAATTTAAAACTGTATTATTTTATATTTCAAATTTTAAAGTTTGGAAAATTTCATAAATACCCCACAATTTTTATGTATTTACAAAATGTAATACTTACAAAGTTGATATTCACATCTATAACATCTTGACATTAAAAATTTATGTGTTTTCATTTAAAAAAAGGTTAATATGAGTGATATTTTTGATGTATTGTCAAATATTTAAGGGTTATTTATGTAAATCTCAAAGTTTAGATATTAGATATGTAAATATATAAGAATTGGCATTTGTAAAATTAAAATAATTTTGAAGTTATAATTTGGGATGTCATAAGAATAAAATGCATCTAAAGTATAAAATTTATAATGTTTAAATTATTATTTTATTTATTTTATTATATTTATAATAACATTATTACTATAGAAATTTAACTACTTATTCACTATTTTCATATATTTATAAATTTAATATCTAAAATTTAGTATTTATGTTTACACTATTTTTTGTCACAAAATTATGGTGAAGTGCATTGTTTTGAAGATAAGATTACTCTACCGTGAGCCGATCATTCAACAAGTTCGGTCCAAGCTCAAAACTGTTTTTGTATTGGTCAGAACCAGTGAAGTCCAACTAAAAAAAAAATAAATGATTGGTTCAAATCTAATTCAATTTTAACGTTTTGATTCAAATGGGATGATCGTAAATAACATATTTAATTTAAAAATTAATAAAATATTCTAAATATTTAAAATTGATCTTACATTAAAATATTATTTATTGAATCGATAAAAAATATATTAATATATCATTATTCTATTAGGTAAATTATATTAAAATAATTTAAATATTTATTGCTTCATTCGATATATTGAAATTTTCTTTAAATCAACTTAATTAAAAAACCACTTTCTTTTAATTAAGCAAAATTCAAAAACTTTCCTTTCTTCAGCGGGAAAAGAATTTATTGATTTCCTTCTTTTTTCTTCTCCGCAGCCTCTAAAGGAAACAGATCTAACCAGCAAAGGAAACAAATGGGAAGATTCCTTCCAATTTCTCTAATAGAATCTTCCTTTCATGAATGCGTCGAACCTTCATTTGCAAAACTTCTTTCCTTTTCAGATCCACGCACAGAAGGAAAGATTCCTTTCCTCCCTTCCGCCCAGCCGCCTTCCGCAAGAACCTTGCCGCCGCTAATTGCGACTTCTTGCAATTCGCGAATTCTCCTGCTGTACTGAAGCCGCGAACTAGTGAACTCTCCTGCTGTACCGCGAACTCGCGAATTCTTCTTCTTCTACTGCTGTACCGAAACTTTTTCTTCCCTGCCCTCGAACCTCGCTCTGATACTACTTGTTGAGAAAATAAGGATGAAGAAAAACAAGAACGACACAAATCCAGAAGAACACAGAGATTTAACGAGGTTCGCCAAAGATGCCTACGTCATCGGGAGCAGAGCGGTGACATCCTTTTCAATATTCAGAAAATAGTACATAATGCAATATTCAGCTCTCTCAAAGACCTAGAATTACAAATAAGTTTATTTATGATCCTAGAGTAAACCCCACAGTACAATATGTAATTCTCAAATTACCCCTGTACCCTATGACCCCAACTCACATAAAGTATCTTCCCAATTTGGACAGATTCTTCCGCTTCGTTCCAGCGTATGTCCCTATATGATACATGAGTCATACCATAACAGTTTGTTTATATATTAAACTTAAAAAATTTGTTCGTGTTCGGCTTATTCGATTAACGAATAAATCAAACACAAGCTACTTAGCAAGCCAAATACAAGCTATTCGTGAATGACAAGTTTTTTTGACAACCCTAATTATCAGTGAGTTCATCTTATCAAGAAGAATACTTCCCATAAATGATGAAAAATCAAGGTTCTATATACATAACAATGATTTCAACAATGCATATGATTCAAGTGCAAGACCGTCCAAAAATGATGATAATAGGTTTACGTCAGACACTTGAGGCCACAATAGTTTCGACAATCCTCAAGAGGAACCTAATGCCTCAAATGCCTGACGAACAAGAGGTCTAGTAAGGCTTCGTCTGAAGAAGCAATGTCAAAGCAATGTCATTCGGTGAAATGTCTTTGAAGGCCATGTTGACGGAACATAGAAGATCACCTGCGATCTAAAACGATGAAAAATCACTATTCTTGTAAATGAACTTGTGAAAATGTTCCTTCACGGAACAAAAACTTTTGTAGACTTCTACATACACTATCAACCAAAGGAAGCTTATAGTCTTCTCAAACAAAACTTTATGTATTGTATGAACTTCAGAGATTGACGAACATAGATGAATTATGTATAATCTAATGCACATGTTGGGAGTCCACTCATTTCTGCCATTGGTTGCGGCATTTCGTCGAACATATTGCTGTCATCTGTTACTTTCTAGAACCCCTAGTACCCATGGCGAAGTACGGCGAGGGTGACAAGAGATGGATCGTGGCCGAGCGCGCAGACGGTAGGAACGTCCATAACTGGCACTGGGTGGAGCGCGATTGCCTCCAGTGGTCTCGCTCATTTCTCTCCTCTGTCCTCTCCGACCTCACCATCGTCGAAGACCATGGTGGCATTTTCATCCGCACCGGAAACATCGACAAACTCGAAGGCGAGGCCTATGTCAACGTTAGGAAGGGAAGGGCCATACCCGGCTACGAGCTCTCCATCTCTCTCTCCTTGGAGGCAGAAGCACGCAGTGACTCCGATGGGAGAGAAGATAGCGCCGCGCAGCTCTTACGCTTTAAGGGATCCGTTGAGGTACCTTTCCTCGGCGATGAGAATGCAGATGAGGACCCCGAGGTCAAATTCGTTCTTCGCGATGGCGATGGTCCAATCGGCCTCCGGATCAAGGACGCGTTTATTGCGAAGGGAAAGCCGGCGATTCTTCAAAAAATTCGTTCCTATGTGCAGGCTATGTCGAAGGGTGGTCCGGCGATGGACGAGCTGGAGACCGGAAAGTTTCCTCCGGTCTCCGAGAGAGCACAGTTGGCTACTGCAGTGACTGGGAGTCCTGCGGTGGAAGCCCCATTAAAACATGAAAAAGAGGGGTTCAAGACAATCAGGATGATTGAGCGGTTTAACTGCAGGGCGACGGATGTTTACGAGATACTCATGGATGAGAAAAGTTGGAAAGGGTTTACGCACAGCAACGCGAGGATTAGCAAGGAAATTGAAGGTCAGTTTAGCCTTATTGATGGGTCGATCACTGGGGTAAACGAGGAGTTGCAGGAAGGGAGACTCATTGTGCAGAAGTGGAGATTCAGTAGCTGGGCTGATGGGATCCATTCAACCGTGAGGAGATGGCTTTCAATTTGAATAATCATATGGATTATTGACTATCTGTATTGAAATGTTACCCATTGTTGTGAATGCAGGTTAGGCTTGAATTTGATGAACCAGATCCTGGTGTTGCCATTGTAAAACTGACACAGAATGGAGTTCCTGAAGAGGATAGGTCAGCTTTGTTTTTCTTTCATGCACAAACCTTATTTTACTTCTGTTACAATGGAAATGAAAGAGACTTGAAACATTATCTCAGTATTGTTTTTTTCCTACAGGTTTGGGAATTATTCAGTGATTGAGAATACTGAGAGGTGCTGGAGAGAGCTGATATTTCACCAGATAAGAACACTCTTTGGCTTTGAAATTTAAGTTCTTGTTAAAGAGCTGTTTTCTTCCTTATATGTTAAGTTTATAGGTTGCGTTTACATATGAAGTGTATGTATGCGGCTTAGTGGTTGAGTTTCAGCTTCTTGATTGTGATCAATCTGGTGATTGTCTCCATGTAACTTTCATTAAACTAAGGGTGAAACTAAATTCAAAAGTGGAATTTTATTTGAATTTCTTACTTATTCTTTGATTGCCTCTTGGATCTATTGCTTCTCTTGGAAATATACCTATATTTGATAAGTGATAGGTCATATAAATTCTATTTTGATGTAATTTTCTTATCTCAAAGCACCTAAACATTTGGGTCATAAATTTTAAAATTGATTTTATGATCATTCAAACTCTGCTTTTAACAAAACTTATAGTTTAGATAGAGACCAATATAATGATAACGATGAATTCTTGATCTGAGAGCTATGCGAGTTAAATCAAACACTTAAAATCATAGTTAGAATTTTTAGAGGCAATTTGAAGGACCAAAGCTTCTTTAAAATTTGATTGTTTATAGTTGAAACAAGTGACTCAAATTATGAATTCCACTTTCTAGAGATAGTTCACTTCAAAGATTATTAAGGCACTCATTTGCCAAAAAAATATCAAATGATCATGGGGATCTTTTTTTTTTTTTTTGGCTGATGGAGTTTTTAGATTATTTGGCAAAAATAACTAGAATTTAACTCCTGAAATTTATAAATTGGCTTTATTTTCATATTCAAAAGGAGAATTTTTGTGGAGAGAATTTTTGGATTTATTTTAGAGCTTTTTCAACCATGTTGTATTGTTTGGTACCACCTAATCATATATGCTTGCCATTGCTAACACCAGTCACTAGCTTTTGACTAACATCGACATTCATCACTACCATTACCTAATGTCTGTCAGAGACTAATATTTAATGTGCATCTTTATTTTTGCTCGATCACCTTTCATACGAGGAGAGCTGTTGAGTTGATCACCAAATTGCATTCGACTTACAATGTTCATTGATTGTTTCTCAATATCTTCAAATGATTGATGTTTGTTAGCCACCTAAGTTCGATGCTAGTTTCTAGTTGCTTGATTTCCTCTCATATTAGAAGAACAATTGAGTTAACATATAAATGTTTTTTGATTCTTATTGTTTCTCATTAATTGTAGCTCGATGATTGCCAGTGATGACATTCGACATTTGTTAGCCGTTGACATTTGTTTAATGATTATCTTCTAGGTAGCTTAATCTCCCTCTTGTTAGGATTGGAATGGAGTGGACTACTAATTAGCACCTAAACTTCAACATTCATCATAGGTTGTGAGCCAACCAAAAATTAATATCCGTCATTTGTTAATCTTTAACATTTGATGCTTCTCTTACTAGTTATCCGATTTTCCTTCCTATCAAGAGGATGAACAAAAAAAAAAAAAATCAAAGACGTGTCTAAATTTTTGCTTCTTAATAGTTGTCCAATGCCCACCATCGATTGATGTATAATGCTCGTTAGTTATCAGGAAAGTGATAGAGCCAATCATTAATCATTGTGAGACATTCAACTTCTTTAATACATCATTGTTCATTGTTTATTAATGATTAATGTTTGATGATTGTCATCCACCAATGCTTGACGCTTGCTTTTCTAGTTGCCAATTTCTCGAACAATTGAGTTGAACACCTAATATCTTATGATTTTTGGTGTTTCTCAGGAACTCTCACTCAATATTTGTCAATGATTGACATTCAACGTCCATCATCCACCGAAGTATGATACATATCTTCCTAGTCATGTATAGTTTTCCCTCCAATTAAGGAAATGATTGCGGCCATTGTGTGCCTTTGCCAAACTTCTAGCATTACTCATTGATCCCCGCCTAATGTGTACGAATTATTAATTTCTTATGTTTGTTCAGAGAAAAATGATGTTTCAATTTCACAAAAAAAAAAAAAAAAAAAAAACCTTTTAGGGCATGTCTATTTGGATGCATCAAAAGTTACGTAACGTTAAATAGAATTCTCATTGAATTGCCTCATGGAGACTCTACAATCTATAGGCTCTAGAAGAGCAAGTCATAGAGAACATCTCTACTTATCTCAAACAATTTATAGGCTCTAGAAGGGCAAGTCATAATAGACAACAGCTCTACTTATCTCAAAAAATCTCATAAGCATACTAATTTAAAAGTTTCAGAAGGAACTTAATGTTAAATATGGCTCTTATTTAATATCCTAGGAGTTTTCATAATCTTTGAATCTCAAAAGGGTTAAGGGAAAGACATTCTCTTATTATCTAGAAATTTTATGAGGGCTAATGATTCATAAATTGACGAAGGAAATCTAGGCTGGATGAGGTCTTTTCTAGAGACTACACGGTTTTGCTATCACAAAGTCGTGTAGAGGCACAATGCCCTGAGTAATGATTACCCTAATCTATCAGTAGAAGCGTTGAATTCACTTTTGTTTCATTTGGGTGGTATTATTGTCTCTCTAACTTAATATTCTGGCTTCAACAATTTGATGAAAAGATGAATAACCAAGTAAGATTAAATAATTGGAAAAAATTGGGATAACTATTCAAAAAATCACGCTTCTCCCTTCACGTCAAGGCTTCCATAAATACGGGAAAGTGTTGGTGTTGATATTCATTATGAGATAAAATCCTATTGAAGGCTCAAGAACTTAAAATCTTAGATACTTATTTGAATGCACATATCTTTTTTTATGGCCATATAAGTGAATATTTAATTTAAAGAAAATTATCCATAATGTGCAATTATGATGTTGTGCACATTTTTATTTGACTAGATAGATGAAGTTTTGTACTTAGGGTTTTTTTAAAGCATTCATCATTAATAAATTTTTTGAAATGTTTTGTATAATTTCACCTTTTCTTAGAGTTTTTTTTTTAATGAATTTGTAATTCAAAAATTTAAGAATAAAAAATAAATCATTGTAAGTTTCATCATTTGTCATACAATTTATTTTTATAGATAATTAATATAGGTTTGGGCTATTAGATTGCAAAATTGAATTTTCAACTATAGTAAATATAATCTGTTAAATTTTACGTTTTTGAGTTGATTTAATTTTTACTGGAAGTTCAGGTTCGTATATGATGTCAAGTTTAATTTCAATTTCTAATTGATTTTTTTTTAAAAGCAAACTATTATAATAGATAATGAAATGAGTATACAAGTAACAATTACAGGGATTTGTCCGGCTATAATAATGTAAATGCAAGTCAAGGGTAATAGTGTGACTAGAAAATATTTGATTGGTGATCTAAGATAAGTCCTCATTTGTACCTCCTCACTTAAACCTGGTGAATATTGGAGAGTAGCGTTAAATTCTTTCTTATTCCTACTACTATCAAAAAATAGGATTTGAAATTTTTTTGTCACCTTAGCTAAAATACTTGAAAGATAACCATTTGAATTAACTGCCATACATAGTGGCATTGACATCCTCTTTAATAGTTATGAGATTAGGGGCAAATTTCCTTAGATGATCTATAACAATGGTTTTCCATAACTTATTATAATAAGGGAAGGTTCTTATGGTGCTGAGCCCATAATGGAATTTAGAGTTTGTTCGAAATTTTATATACATGCATGCATTGATGAAGATGGAATTACTTCTAACACATTTGAAGAGAGATTGTGATTATTTTGTTCCCCCTTTTCCTAATTGCATGGATTGATAACTCGTGTTTTTCTTAGTTCTTTGATGAATTTTGAAGCAATCAAAGTAAATATGTTCAAAAACATTTCAAATGGAGCAATATGAATTAATAATCATAAATAAAATTTCTACCAATAATTACAGGAAGACAAGCCAAGCCAAAACAGACTATCTTGAGGCCTAGTGACGTTCAATTTGCTAGAAATATGGCTAAAAATTGACACAGAGAGACAAGCGGTAGCAACATTTACTTACAAAGGTTTGTCAAAGAGTGAGTATATAGGATAAATATAGACTGATTAAAATAGTGAAGATGACATCTAGGAAAAGAAATTTAAACTATATTAATTGGAGGTTGCATGAAGGAGTTAATTATTTTAACATTTACAGCAAAAAGCCATTCACATATTTGGACTAACGTAAAAAAATAAAGAGTAATCCTCTTCAATAGATAATATGATAATAATATGATGAGTGTCAAGTAGGCCAATTGACTATCCTCCATTTAGGTGCATGTCTTATTTGAATGAATTTATAATATGAAGATTGAGACATCCCATTAAAACTTGCCCATTGTAGAGAAGAAAAATAAGCTAAGCTAATTTTTTATATTTGTGAATCAATGAAGATGATTGTTGGTTTATCGAAATTTAATGGTTGTTTGTGGTGGGGAGAACTTGAATCTTCATGAAAAAATAGTAAAAACTAGGTAGTTGAAGCCTACTAGATAAGGAGAAATAGGCTTTCAAGTTGCAAGAAAAGCTACAAGTGAGACAAAAGGCCGCTTGATTCCATGCCAACAAAGGTAAAGACACGACAAGAGAAACATCTTGAGAGGGAGATGAAGATTTTGACAAGGATCCGAATTTCAAAATGACATTTTGACTCTTAATTATAATGTTAGGTTCATAAGTTTGTTCTAATGGAGAGGTGATGTGTAGAAAATGTGTTGTTTTATATCCTAGTATTTACTTTGTTATTTATATCATTTTTATGCTCTCTAGGGTATTTTGGTGTGTATTTATAGTTGACAAATCGCTAGCTAAAAAAGGGAGCAAACTCATGCTAAGTGCCATAATAGCACCTAAGCGCCTTAACTAGTTCCTCATTTTGCCAAAATACTAGAGGAGACGTAAAGTATGCGTGTGCCTCTGGTGCTTAGGTACCCGAACGATTTCTCATTTCACCAAGATACAGAGCAATCGAAAACCCAATGCCTTGGATCAACGCCTCGACACTTGGTCCATATCTTCCCTTCGTACCAATAGACCGAGCCTACAGAAACTTGGCACCCCCTCTTGGCGCCTAGGCAACTGGAACTGACTTTGTGCAGTTTTGACGGTTCAGAGATGAAATTTGGATAAATTGGTCACCAAAGTTACGAGAACTGTTTTGGGATGACGACATATAGATTGGATGTCCTTCGAAAATAGGGACCTAATAAATATTTTTAATTTATAGATTTACATATGCCAACTGCCGTTATAAGTTACGACAACGGCCACTTCAAGCACCATCAAGTTATACTCTTGT